CACCTGGACGGGGAATCGATATTTCACGGTTAACGAGGGTTCATTTGACCGTCGCCGCTTATTATAATAAACGAGCCCGTATGTCTGATTCTCGGTCACACGGCGGCAAAGGGGGCTCGGCGGCGCGGGCGGGCGGGAGGGGAAGGGCCGTCGGAGTTGGAGCAGAAACGGTCCCAAGAGGGGCACAGGGCTGGGCGAGCGGAGGGAAGGAGGAGACAGGCGTTTACGTGCGGCAGACATTCGATGATGCATAGTTGCTGTTGACATGCTGGAACGTCAGGCTCACATGACCTCTCGAGCGCAGCCATTATCCGCAAAGCGACCCCCCGGTCCAATCCTCCCTCCCACCGTGTCTCTTCTCTTCCCTTCTCGCCCCCTCTCGCCCTCTCGCCCCTGTCGCTCGCCCGTCCCTCCCCTGTTCGTCGAACTGGGACAATAATCGCTTCGCAAAGTCGTGTAATAATTATTGGCCAGTTTTCGCGAGTCCCAACCCTCGTTACAGCGAGGCCGCGTTTTGCCTCCCTCGTTAATTGCGCAATAATGCCACTGCCGGCGCGCCTCTTCGCCGTTGTTCAGCAGTCGTCCCCGTCGCCGCCCAACCCCTATCTCCCACATGAGAGGCCCGTCGACACGGGACATCGAGGGGGTCCAGTCTGTAAATGCACTTTTGCAACGCGCTGTACTTCCGCGGGTTGTACCGCTGACGTTTATTCAGCCGCGGCGGACTTTATTTACGCGCGTTTCACGTTTGGATGGATAATGTTGCGCTGGACGCGCTCGCGGCTGATTGGAACACTCGGCCCTCGGAGCCGATGGTACCCGGATGGTTACCGGAAAGAGAGAGAGAGAGAGAGAGAGAGAGAGAGAGAGAGAGAGTGAGAGAGAGAGGGAGGTGAAGGGGAGTGAGAGAGACTTGTTGTTTTAATGTATGTAGCCGGTTGCTGTTTTCGCGTATTAGTTTGCTGCAACGAAACACTGCCCTCCCACATGATAGTCTTGACACTCTACTTCAAGGTAATTAATCGAATTTAATTGAGTGAAATATCGATCCCTCTTCCGAAGCCTTTCCTCGTGATATCTTCGATATCGAATTCTGATAATTTCGCAGGGGTGGAAGGGAGTTTATTTCTTTGAAATTCCGCTCGCTCCGAATAGCGGATTCCTTCGGGTTCCGCTGTTGTTGTTCTGTACCGATAGAAATCTTCGGCGTCGAACTTGTTCATCATTAGCCGCCCGCGCAAAACGTCAGATCGCCGAGTCTACAAATTTCTTCCAACTTGAGAAACAAGCGGTGCTTTCGCAACCGAGCTCGTGAAACTCGATGAGTCTCACGATGAGAAGCGTTCGACGCATTCACGCAGAGACAGCAAGAGCGAAATCACGACAACCCTCCTGGGGCCGCTTTACGCTCGTTTCACCCCCGCATTTTGCATTCCGCTGCGTTAAGCGGCGCCTCGCGATTATCACGACGGAAAGTTCATTTCGCCATCAAGCGGGCGGCGCCGCAACGTGCGGACGCCTGATAAAAATCGCAAGATGAATGACAGAGGAGCGCGTGTGCGTGTGTGTGCGTGCGTGCGTGCGTGCGTGCGTGCGTGTGCGCGCGTGGAAGGTGCGACGCGAGGGCGACGCGACGCGACGCGACGCGACGCCCGATTACGTATGCAGCGACGCAACGCGACACGCGCGTGATTCGCGTCGCTGACGTATCCGTGAATATGCACTGACCGCGCAACTTTCGCGACACAGGGTCTGAACACAGCCGGATTGTGCCGTATTGTGCGCAAACAGGAGGCCGGCGGCGGGCGGCGGGCGACGAGGGTCGGGAAGAGAGGGCGAGAAAGGGAGATCGCGCGCGGCGCGGCGCGGACTCAGCGCGAATCGCGTTAATTCGCGTGGCGGGCGAGCGCGTTAATTGTTTTATAGCGCAGGAGAGGGATGATCATGCCCCCCGATAGGCAACCCGCACTTGGGGCGCAATACTGCAATCAGTGTATCACTGTGCGTCGGAAATCGTGCCGCGAATGTAATTGCCGCGATATGACCGCGCGGTTAGTCGCCAATCGTCGCCGATCGGTGGCCGACAATGCGCGAGCGTTTTACGGTAACGTTGCGACGACGCAGGGCGACTTCTAGGGCGCAGCGGAATCGTGAGATTCTTTTATAATTGTTACAAGACAAAACACTGCCGTTTAAGGGATAAAATTTCGCCGCGACGCGACGACGGCACGTCGAGTCATCGTCAGCACGGCCGTTGTCTCAAAGTTGCGAATTTGCCCGTTCTTCGAAACAAAAAATAATATCCAAATCGGAATCGGAAAATTTCATATGCGAATTTCAGGACAAACGAGTTTCATTTAATACGTCGTTTAGGGCGCTATTCCGGAAGCTGTTTAAGATTCAAGGTGCTATTTAAAACAATCCAAAAGAAGGTCTCCGAATAACATCACGAGTAGAAAAATTAACAGAGCTCTGGTAAGAGCCTGATTATTTTTCTCTAACGTTAATCGGGCTCTAGTAGGGATAGAAACACAAGGACTCTACAAGATGTGTAACAAATGGATTAACGGGTCCTTATAAGGCAATATTATAAGGACCTTATAAGGCAATATTAATAGAGCCTTATAAGGACATAATTTTATTATTGCTTGAGTAAAAATATTCATTCTTTTCATTCCAAGAAATTTAGACTGTAATTTCTTCATAACCTTGTTAGTACATAGTTACACAACAAGAACTTTATATTTTAAAAATATAGCATACTTTGCAATAAAATATAGCATTCTTTACACATAAAACTCCTGCCACTATTTTTATTAAAGTTTGCTGCATCTCAAAATAAAGGCAATACTAGAAAAATCCTTGGAAAAGACTAATGAATATGACAACTAACAAAACTAATGAAATTCGTTTTTAATTGCGGTATAATTAAAAAGTTCTTTAAAAGAACCAGATAGAGTGTACCTACTAAAACAATATGAACTAAACTACGCCAATTTTATTACACCCTTCAGATCTTATTAATTTTCTATAACTTGATTAGTATATCTAAAGCATCCTTAAAAGATCCTTCTACACCAGTTTTTCATGTTAGTGTTATTTCGTGAAATCTAAGACATCCCTAATAAATCCTTCTAACCCTTTCTAAGCCCTCATCAGCTTTCGCTATCAAAGCCTTATTTATTCGATCTAAGGCATCCCTAAAAAAATCCTTCTAAGGTTCTCATCAGTTTTCCTTATCAAAGTCTTATTTCGTAAAATCTAAGGAAACCCTAAAAGGATCCATCTCGGGGTCTGGTAATGAAGCAGCCCTTTTTAGAGCATCCTATTTTCAGCCTTACCGGGCCTTATACTTCATGAAGATGGTCCTAACAATTTGTTGCTCGGGATAGCCTTCATCGTTAGTCCATGGATAGGCTGAACTATCGAAGAACCAACTGAGCCAGGACTAAAGTAAGGTTATTACATGTTACGGCGGGCTCCATTAGCCCGGACAAGGCTCGAGCTTGGTGTCGACGAGTGTCTCGATGCGCCGCAAGGTGTCTGACTTGCAATCTCCAATATTTGAGTTCAGCCAGTCGCGCTCGAGTACACCCAGCCGACTCGGTTTCAATGGGCGGCGTCGGCACGTGACGCCGCGACTCGGCTAATTCACATGTTCCCCCTTGTATTCTCGGCTGCGGTGCCGGGCTGTGATATTAATCGGAGCGCAGCCACCCTCTCGACGGAGGGTGGGCGCGCGGTCTTCCGGAGCGCTCGCGCCTCTTACGCGCACTGCAAATCCCTCGGTCGCTCTCTCGACGAGCGCGCAAATCGCGCGATCTGTGCGTTTTCCAATCAACGATCAACCGCCGCTAACGATCTAATTAAAGTTCGCGCCGAAATTCCGCGCGTTCCGCGTGTAATCGCGTTTAAGCGTTTGCGCGCCGCGCACCGCGTTCGTTCTAAGCGGCCTCGCCCGCCGCGAAGCCGCGCGCCGCGCGCGGACGCAGCTTGAATATATAAATTCCCGCCTGCGCGCTCGCGCGCTGCTTTATTTACGCACCTCGTGAATATGCATTCGTCTCAAGACGGGCTAATGAACCGACCCGCACGGAGCACGCGAGCCTGGTTAAGCAACTAATTAAAGCGCCGCCGTCGCGAACTCGATCGCTCGCGCAGTCGGATTATTATTTCCGCCGCGTTGAACAACGCGCGCGCACCCCGGCTTTTTCGGCTCACCCCGGACGATCACTCTCGGCGAATTCTGATTGAGCTAATCGACGATCAACTGGGCCGGCAAAGTTGCCAACGTGGAGAGTGGAAAATCGTTCGTTGCGGAATAGCGAGTCGGAAATTCTCGTGCGGAATTCCCCGTTATGAGCTTTATGTGAAATTGTTATCAGTCGAGAGCATTAAATGTCCTGTTCCGCGCGGAAAAAAAATGTCTGGCTGAGTGAACGAATTTTCTGGTGAAACAGAAACTACCCAGAAACTTCGACCGAAAATATCAGAATTCTGCACGAGTCAAGCAGAAATGTTGATTGTCCCGGCCGAATCCTGACAAGCCGACCTGGAATTTCTGTATCGTTCGTGTTTCACCAAAAAATAGTTTCGTTCGTGCAAACATTTCTCTCTCTCTCTCTCTCTCTCTCTCTCTCTCTCTCTCTCTCCAATGTACGCCGACATGTACGGAATTATCAATTTTTGGCATATTCGCCAGATAACAAATTGCCACCGGTAATTCCACCGCTCCATAAATTACGCTTGTAAATACGACGCTTCGATTTATGTTACGGCATTACCATAAACGTCATTGAGCCGTTGAGCAGTTTCGAACGTTCCCGCGTATGAAATTAACGGTATCGATATCGGTTCCCGTTGGCGTAATATTTGATCAATTTTAAACGACATTAACAGTCTCGACGCTAACTACCGTGAATCTAATCTAATCACCTGTTGGATACGACATGCGACAGCTACCGAGTGATCACTCGACAGTTCTCGAGCGGAAGGTGCAGCCGGTCGCTTCCGCGGTTATCTCGCGGACTGATTTTTTTCTGTTTTCTGCCGCGCACTGAGAAAATAAAACGTGCGTTATCGCTGAGAGGCGATAAGTGTGTCGACCAGCTTGGACAGGCCGTCGACGTGTCAAGTGAAAGTTGCGCTATGGGCAATTGGGGTTCCAGTGGTTCCGTTCTTTCGAGACAGGCTGTCGACGAGTACGTCGAGCTGACGTACTTGTGCAAGAATGAAGTTCGGCGGTGAGTGCGAGAGAGCTCGACACGTGTATACCGCGAAAACATCGTAATTTGGGTAATTGGGTTGTTCAAAAAATCATTGCGTTTCTTCCGGTGATTTTCAAGAGCGTTTATTTTATACGAAGAATGAACGTTAATCAATGATATTTTGCCCTTTTCGTTCGATGACCTTTTGCCATCTTTCGGTAAGCTTCATGATCCCATTCTCGAAAAACTTCCTATCTGTATCAGCTTAGAACTGAACCAAGTGCCTTTCGATAGCGCGTTATTCGAAGCGAACGTTTATCCACTCAAGGAGTTTTGCAAGGACCGAAACAAATAGTAGTCTGACGGTGCAAGGTCTGGCGAATACGGTGGATGAGGCAACACATCCCATGCAAGCTCCGACAATTTTTCGCGAGTCATCAAACTTGTGTGTGGTCAGTTGTGTGTTGTCATGATGGGAGCCTTTGCGCCTTTGCGATTTATCAATTCTGGCCGCTTTTCTGCTATTGCTTCGTTGAATTTGTTGAGCTGTTGACAGTACATGTCCGAATTGATCGTAGCATTCTTTGGTAAGAAAACTCGAAAAACATCACACCCTTCTAATCCTACCAGATTCAGAGCATCACCTTTCTCTGGTGGATATCTGCTTTCGATGTGTTTTGAGCCGGCTCATCGCGCTTGCTCCACGATAGCTTTCGCTTCACATTGTTGTAGACAACTCATTTCTCATCGCCAGTAATCATACGTTTCAGAAATGGGTCGGACTGTTCACGTTTCAGAAGTTGATCGCAGATGTCTATGCGTTTTATGAGATGAACTTCTTTCGGTTCATGCGGGACCCAAACATCGAGCTTACTGACGTAACCAAGTTGTTTGAAATTAAGGTAAACGCTCCCAATCGATATTTTTAGCGCTCAGCGAGCTCACGAATGGTAGAAACGTCGATTAGCTTCAACCAATACCTTTATTTTATCACCATCAACCTCCGGTGGCCGACCTGAGCGAGATGCATCTTTCACACTGTAGTCACCAAAACGGAAACGAGCAAACCAATATTAACATTGGCGGTTTTTAGGGCTTCTTTGCCATAAACTCTATACAACTTTTCACAAGCCTGCACAGCGTTCCTTTTCGGAAGTAATAAAGTAAAACTTGGCCAACAGCCATCTCTAAACGCAATGACTTTTTGAACGATCCAATAATTGTCCGCGTGCGACTTACATGCAAGCTCTGGGACAATCTCGCGAGTACGAATTCAAGCAGCGAAAACTGATCGACTCGGCTGATCAACTCTGATGTTTTTCAGAATTTACAAACTCCTTAGCGATTTAGAGCCAGAACAGCTGAAGCAAAATCTGCACTATCGCTTTCCCGCGGAGCAAATCGACAAGGTTCTCCCGCAGATTCGCGTGAGTCGCTCGTTTATTATTATTATTATTTTTTTAACATTCTGCCCAAAGTCACACAACACACTGAGCGGACTAATATCGTTCGAAAGAACACCGTCCAAACTTTCGACGGCAAACAACAGCGCCTCGCTGTTTTGGATTATCGCAGTGCGCAACTTCCGTTAGTTCAAAACATCATGTATATCGCGCTGCAATAAATCCTTCTTAAGCGACGGTAAGCTGCTAACATTTTTTCCCTGCGAGCCAGCAATTTCTTTGCGCGAATGATGACGAAGTGCGACGCGACGAACGATGCCGAGCCCCGTGTTCTTCGTAATATAAAATATCTTTGAATCCCATCCGACCGACCTCATCGCGATGAAAACCTGTTCGTTAAGGCTCGATGGACATGATTATTCGGAGAGTAGAATCATCCTGACTGATTTGCAAGTGCATTCCGGAGAGTTGAGGCGAGCGCATTTTTCCAGTGCAATCCGTTCCGCGACTCGATATATCGGGTGTTCTCGTCGCAACGGGACGGATGTTTGAGCTTCGAGGACACCCTCGACCTCTGCTCGGCCTTCTCCGCGAATTGTCCTCGGGGCATCCGGGCTGCATGGGCTTTTGAGATTTTCGGTAAGCTCGCGAACGGAATTCAATCTGCATCCAGCCTTTTGCGTGTGTGCGCGAAACTCTAACTTTTGTCCCGGCAAATATTTGCCGGCCGCGGTCCGCTACTATCCTACGCGCTCATTAAACGTGCCCGCCGGACAATACTTCAGTCGTCAAAAACACAAGCATAAAATTCTGCTATTTAAGTTGTAGGAAAAAGCGCCTCGACGCGTAGCGCCGAGTGGCATATTATCGTGTATCTCCGTGCTATAATGTCGTACTTTAGTATCACGGGGGAAGGAGGGGATTGCGTTGTTAGTATTCGCGATATATTCGCGCTATTTGCGAAGCAACGCATACCGCACCGAAAACGTGTGAAACACCTTTAGCAAATTGTGACAAGTCTACGCTGACAAACTTAAAGGCCCGGTAGGTTTCTACGGTAAACTGCACTGAAGATAAACCGGGCCGTGTTATTCGTGAAATCAAGCGACACTTGGCTGATTTTCATTCGTTACTTCCTGCCGTTCAATTTTCAGATTCGGTCCCGCCAATTTGCGATAAATGCCGTTTATTTTAGTACTATGCAATGTGACACAATCTGACGAGGACTGAAGTGCAACGCGAAATTAAATTCCATATTTTCCACGTTTTACGGAATTTTGAACAAAAATTCGCGAAAAATTATGCACATCGATGCGGACGGTGCAACGTAGTTTATTATGCATATTGTACACATTGTAACAATTTCGAAGCGATAATTTTCAAATTTCATCAACGACGGGATAATCGCGTTTCCTTGAAATTAATTATTTCAGGTATATTTTGAAAAACCAGATCCTCTCTTCCTCTCTCCCTCTCTCTCTCTCTCTCTCTCTCTCTCTCTCTCTCTCTCTCTCAGAAATAATTAACTCTTTGCGACGACTATTTTCTATCGTCACTGTCATTCGTCATACTTTGCGATAATTTGCCCTCTTTGACACGTTTCGCGATACAAACTTATTCGTTGTGCGCGCAAACACACGCAACGCTCGGCTGCATAAAAATTTCGTGACACAAACAATAGCCACGTTGTCTTCATTTTCAGATTTCGATGGCGACAATGAAATCTCCCTTAACGATCTGATCGAGACGGTGCAGAGGCTGACTGGTACAGATGAACGCGGACAGGACCGAATCGATCCGCAACACGCGCAAGACATAGCGCGAATGGTCAGTGTGCATTCCTGCGCGTCCTCGGCGCAGCTACAAAGGATGAAATCGGGAAGCGATTAATCCTTTTGCCGTAGCGAGGCTTTTCTATCGCAGCAAATTTCCGGTGGCCGTTGTTGGTTCCGTGGCAAAAAGTAGACGGATTGAAAGGAACTGGTTGCTGCGAGGAGAAATTAATTCCGTGAAATTGTATTCCCAATCAATCGAAACCGGGAATTGCTCTTAAAATCGTCGGATTCCTCTCTATTCGCTCTTTTTAAAAGAAAAGCAAACTGTTTTGTGCCGCAGGTAGAATTGAAGAGAGAAAAATATCCCAATATCCTCTTTGCTCTCCGAAATATTTCCGCCGGTTCCTTTCAACTCGTGCATTTCTCGCGGAATCACGATGAGCATCCGATTACAATGATTCATAATCGTCTACAATGTATCCGTTGTTTCAGATCCTGCGGGAAATGGATCTCGTTGGATCAGGTAGCATAGTGCTACAAGAATTTGTACACATGATCTCCAAAATGCCCGATTTCGCACATACGTTTCAATTTAAAGTTTTATAGATTCACAGAGGGGAACATTGAAAAAAATAAAACTGCGTCGTTCAATAAGATATTGTAAAAAGAGAGCGAAGAAAATTTTATGCACTTGCATATTATATTATTTCTTGTGCATCGGGAGAGACTAAAGTGGATGGCAAATTTATAAAAATGATTTTAATAATCACATATACAAAACATTACATACAAACGGAAAAAAAGTATTTACTATATTATTGAAGTTTATTAAAAAATATTGTCAATTAAATTAATTATTTAATAAATATACATCATTATTTAGCCTGTGTTTTACTCCGTAAATACTCGGTGCATCGCAAGAGACTTCAGGCGCATTGTAACTATCCTTTCAAAGTTCCTTGCTTGAAATTTTCATCGCCAGTTTTAAAACTCGCAACTTGCTGTTAAGATGACATGCGGTCCGTTTAACGTTAAACGAGTATTTCGAAGCGTTGTTGTTTCTTTTTTTAATGCGTGGAGTTTTATAACGTCATTATGTAGTTTGAATATTTTGGAGCGTCCGACAACCCTTGTCCACAGACAATCACAATGTGGCACTGTCTTGTAGTGATTTTCACTGGATATTGCAAATAAATGCATCCTCTTTTAGAGAGAGTTTCGTATTTAGTATCTTTTATTAGTTTAAAATTGCTATCACTACATTATTCCGCTCTGCACAGGAATGCTGCTTTGTCCTAGCATTGCACTCAAGTAGCCATATTTGCTTTCATACTTGAGTATATCTCTACATTCACATCTTTGATATCAAGGCAGCACCACGATAGAATCAGTATATGTTTTTGCCAACTTCATTATTAGATTTAGGAACTATTATCTTGGTAGCAAACCATTGAGATTTGATTGCCACCAGTATCAATGTTCTTTTCGTTTTTTACACTTTTATTTTATCTCTGACTTTTTTTTGCGTGCTGGTTTTGAAGCGACTTAGGAAATTTATCGTATTTAGCATGTCCACCGAAGCCGTCGAAAGTCACGTCACTGCTACCAGCTTTCTAAATTACGTGTGAAAATAAATATTAAAAAAAAATTTTTTATATTTATATTTATTCACGCACGAGTAATACCAAATATATACGTATGGTAAAAAGTATTTAGTTAATGGCTAAACCGAGCAGTAATTACCTTGCTTACTTCATCCATCTTTGGCTTTTTCGCAAGTATCGAAGGTACTGTTGCTATGCCGCTACCAATTCTCTTGATACTGCGTTGTGTCATCGAAAAGAAGCCTTGTGATTTTATATTTTGTGGCGTATTTTCCGCGTTATCCTACAATAATTATTGATACATCGCAAACTTGAGATGTGTGTTATGTCTTCGATATTCTAAATCTTCAATACCACATGCGTCGATCCGCTTCAGAAGGTGAAACGAGATATCAATTCTTTTCACTATCTGGTGAAAAGTCACCAGATATAATTCAGTAAATATTATATCAAAAGTGTCCCACATATACTGATATATATTCATTCATTATTTCGATTCCGAATAAAATATTGCAACTGTGTGTGCGACTCACGTGTTAATTTTGGACAAGAGTATGTAACAAAAGGAAATGTCACATACAACTTGTTAACTAATCCTTTTCTTATTCTAGTGTTGATAAGTTTTAGTTTACTTACTGCAGTCGTAATAATCTCGATATCACTCAAAGATGTGTTACTACAAGAATTTGATGTGTTTGATATATGCTCTGTTTCCACGATGTCGAGTACCTTCTTGGAATTATACTTCTTTTCTTTTAGGCATTCTTTCTCTTGTGCAGCTATTTTATCACATTTACAGTTAAGTGTAGCAGTTTGAATGTTAAGAAGTTTACTCTGCAAACTTATATTTTCTTTCTCTTGCTCTTCCAATGTTTCTTCCAATTGTCTACAAAACAATGTAAATCCAAGGAAATAATGAATATGAAACAAAATACGATGCCTAATATAGCAAAAAATAGTAAGCACAATTGATTCAATTCAAACATTGAAATTTGTCTTGATGTCACTTCAGTTTTAAGCACAACTTAATATAAAAACAGTGTATACCTTAGCTTACTTTTAACTTTTAACAATTCCATAGATGCCTTGTTATTTGCTGATATTTTATCCCTCAAGCGTCTTTTCTGGATTATGCTATTTTCAAGTTCTCTGAAATTTGTACCAGTTCAGTTGTACTACGATCAATGCAAATGCTACAAACATTATATATAATATATAAATATAAAATACCTCTTTAATATTGATATATATGTCTGTAGTGTAGAAGAATCTGCATGTGTCTTCATCATCTCATCTACTTGATCTGTAGAAGCAATTATTAAAGTTTGCACACTATAAAAAAACAGAAAAATAGCATTTATGAGTACAATGTTAAATATAGCTATAAAGATATTTTTATATTATTTAAACAATATTGAACAATAATGTTCTTGATGTATTGAACAATCTATGTTCCTAGCAAACTTAACAGATCATAATCTTAAATTTGTATATCATAAAGTAAGCAATTACTTCTGCAACTTTTCTAACTTCAGCTTTAATGTTTCAATTTGTTTATCTTTATCTGTTACATCTGCGCATTGTATTTTACAATATTTAATTTGCTCCTTCAGTGCTCGAATTGCACTGTCTTTGCTCTTTATTTTTTCTTCACAGAGCTTGATTTCTTGTTGAAGAGGAAGTATTTGCATTTCTAATTTATTTTTGCACTCTGTGAGATCAGTGTTTTCCTTTTTTGTCAGAGTCAGTTGAAAGTTTAGGGAATCAATTTTGCTTATTAAAACTGTAGAATCTGTTACACTGGAATCATCGTTTGAGAAATTGAAGTATATTCTGCGTATAGCTCTTGCAGTTGTTTTTTCACGACACTGAGGACAAGTATTTGATCTGTAAATATAATTATTAAAAGTATATAATGTCTGTAACATGTGTAATCAACAGTTGAATGAAGAGTAACAATTTCTGATAAACAATGGATGTATATAACAAATACATAAATCTTTAGTAATGTCAATAAATTACCTATCAATCCACTTTGTCAAACATTGGAAATGAAAAATATGTCCACATGGTGTGTGGTAAACGTCATCAGACGGTACCAGTAATTCGCTACAAATTACACACACAATATTCATTGTATGCATTCACGCTGTTGAAAACTTCGGACAGATACAAATGTTATTCTTTTCATCAACTTCGCACATTGCTTCAAAGTACATACAGAGAGAAGCCTGGTGTTTTTCCAACATTGATTTTCATGACTGTTTGATGCGCCATCTACACTTCTGAGTTGGAATTACATTCGTTACACCGCGATTGAATCTTGGCTAAATGTACCGACGAGAATTAATAAGGACCGTCGACACTGACGAGATAACGCTAAAGCAGAGAGAAGCCTGAGAGCGGCCACGCCGGCGTTTTTGACGACATGCATTTTGATGACTGATTTTAACGCCATCTACACCCATTTGTAGCCGGGAATTACATTGACTACGCCCATTTGCAGACGCTGCCGGTAAAGTCTCTATTTGATGCGTGTCCGTTCTACGCCCATTTACTGGCGGTCTCGTGCCTGTGGGTATATTACGCCTATAATTACGGGTTGAGAAAGACTACAAATGGGTGCAGATGGCATAAAAATCAGTCATCAAAATGCATGTCGCCAAAAACGCCGGCGTGGCCGCTTTCAGGCTTCTCTCTGGCTAAAGACGGTCAGCCCTGGCTAAATTTTTATATTGGCAAAGGGGTTCCGAGGGGCCTGGGGGTAATTTGAGAGTCATGAAAGTATCGACTATTTCAGCTATACCGAAGATAACTTGAGGAATTTTCCCTTGAATTTTCCCGCTCTGGAAATGCCTTCAAATTATTTCCTTCTGGTTTTACACCCATGTCCCAAGAATTGTTCAAAAACTTAACTATTAATTCTTTAATTATTAGTGTAGAGTAATAATAGATAACGCTGAGAACTTTTACATACATCTAATAAATAAATAACTATTTTATTCTTTTCAAGTTACATTTTGTGCATGTGTGCGTGTGTGTGTGTGTGTGAGGGAGGTATATTCTATAATATTTACAATATTTACATGGACATTTGTAAACAAGATTATGAGCGATTAGGAAAATAATTGGTCACGAGAGTGTTAATTCTTTAATATAATCGCAATTACGTTAAAAAATAAAATATGGATAAAAATATTTCGTTGAACGCCATCAAAAATTTATTGACTCTGTTATATGCTGTTTGATATATCATTCTGCAAGTAACTATAACAATCGAGGATTATTTAATAAAATATAGATTTTTACAATCTTCCAATATTGATTTTCCGACACTAATATTTCACACTCTAACGCAATTTTGCGTCTGTACAAAAAACTTTGTCGAACTTCGTGACAATGTGTCAAAGGAAAACGTTCATGGAGGGAATAAAATATGAACTAATTTTCACGGTGAATGTCTTCTCTCACGAGAAAGTGCGATAAAAATTTGATAAGAACTCTTGTTTTCTTACTGCGACGATACTGAATTATAAATTACATCAAAAACAAGAAATACATCATAAGTGTCTTTTTTCTCACTATACGTCGAAATCAACCAGTGTTTCGTAATGTTCGACGAAATATATATCGATGAAGTATACAAACGGAAATCCATACATGTACTACATTTGCAATTTAGAATTACTCTCCTTCGTGCGAGGAGAGTCGATTCTGAAGCTTCATGCATCCTTCGCCTACTCCTTCAAGGAATCTTTTACTCAAATTGATGAGGTCCAGCTCGAGCTTGTGTCCCGTGATGACGAAAAGACTGTCGGTGATTCTTTCTGCGGGATTTCCACGCGTATACAACACGTGTCAGTCGTTTCCCGACCTGGTGAAGTCACCCGACGTCCTTCAAGTGCAAACTCTGCCTCTGCCCAAGGATCAGTTACTGAGTCTCCGAATTTTCGCAGAGGCCGTGGGTTTCCAGCCCACTGTGCACTGATACGTGGGACCAGGCTCCGAGGAGTTCCTCTCCGCCGTGTCGTCGCGATCGCAATTATCCGGCGAGCCCTTCAGCCTATCTCTTGAGAAAGCCGTGTTGACGACACCCTCCTCTTGGTCAGGCTCGCCCTGCGACGACACGCCGGGCTGTTGTCCTTCGGAATCTTCCGCCGGACAGGACAGGTTCGAGTCTTTGGCCCAAGGATTCTCGCTCTCGCCGACGGTCGGTGTGAAGACCGACTGTTGGACAGGATGTGAAATGTTCACCGTGCTCGGCCAAGGTCGCATTACCGGTTTGGACGACTTCGCGAGCGCAGGGAAGAAGGGCTTCCTGAGCTCGGGGCGCGGCGTCGAGCCCTTCGCCAGCGAGGAAAATCGCTTGACGGTCTCGGTTAGAACGCGTCGCTGTTCGGCTTCAATCGGCTGCTCCTGACCATCCAGCTGCACAACCGTTTCAGAACAATTGCGAGCCATCTTCCCAGGCGTTGGAGGGGACCCGCTGATCTGGCTGAAACAAACGAGTATAATTTAATAGAGTTCTTGTATAATCCCTGTATAAAATGTCAAATTAAAACATATTAAAAAGTATTGACATTTTGAATATACATCTGAATTCTGCTTTCTGACCCGAAGAAAGGGACTGAAAAGTATTAGTTCCCATTAAATTTCACCGCGCTAAATGCGAGATGGCAGTGGGGAATGCTTTGCATTAAAAAGGATTCAATTCATTTCAAATATGCCTTGCATTCGATCGCAATCGATAATTTTCAAATGCGAACTTTCGCATTGAAAAATATTCACTTCTTCTCCTAATTGTTTTCGGATTCACGAAGCATACAAGATTTTCACGTTCTGCTCCCCATCGCATTGAAAAGTATCGGCCCGCGATCCAATCTGAGATTTCCGTAAAGCAGAATTCACGACGAAATCTCGTGAATGCGAAACAATACTTTTAAATACATTTTATACAGGGGTTTCATGCACTATATTAATACTAATAATACAGAGATTTTATACCACTGCAAAAATTACTATATTACATAAAATTTATTATATTAATTTTACTATTTGCTATTAATATAATGATATTTACTATTAATTTTATTACATGATATATTATTGATGATATATTACATGATATATAATACTATAATAAATTGTAATTTAATATAACTTAACATGTTGTAGAATTTAATACGAGGGTAGTCCCAGAAGTACCTGACCTAACAAAGAAAACAGAAAAAATTTGGGAAAAAATATCTTTATTTCTCTACATAGTCTCCTTTTCCCAGCGATGTTCAATAGCTTCGATACCCTGTTTATAGCGGGAATCGTCGAGCTCCTCAAAATAGCCATCAACCGCAGACTCCACCTCTTCATTGTTGGCAAATCTTTTACCACCGAGCCATTTTTCAAGTTTGGAAACAGAAAATAATCCGAGTGGGCTAAATCTGGCGAATAGGGTGCGTGAGAAAGCAGTTCGAACTTTAACTCATTGATTTTGGCCATCGCGATAACGGATGTGTGAACTGGTGCATTGTCTTGATGAAACGAAACTTTCTTTTTCGTCAAATGCGGCCGTTTTTTCTTGATTTCATCACTCAAACGCTGCAATAAGTTCGCATAATACTCGCCGTTGATTGTTTTTACTTTCTGAAGATAATCAATGAAAATTATCCCACGCGCATCCCAAAAAACTGACGCTATGACCTTGCCTGCAGATGGAACTGTCTTCGCCTTCTTTGGAGCCGATTCTCCCCTTTCAGTCCATTGTTTTGACTGTTTCTTCGTCTCAGGTGTGAAGTGATGGACCCATGTTTCATCCATGGTTATGAATCAACGCAAAAACTCGGCTTTATTGCTGTGAAACTTCGCCAAACACTCGATTGAAACATCCTCACGACGCTGTTTTTGTTCCATTGTGAGTAATCGCGGCATCCATCTTGCGCACAGCTTTCTCATGTCCAAATTTTCAGTCAATATGCGATGTACAGCACTTTTTGAAATGCCTACCATGTCTTCTGACTCGCGCACTTTCAGTCGACGGTCATCCAATACCATTTTGTGGATTCTCTTCACCATTTCTGGCGTGATTACCTCATTTGGTCGAGCACTGCGATGTTCGTCTTGGCAGCTCGTACGGCCTCGTTTAAACTCTGCCACCCAATATTTTACTGTTGTAAACGAAGGAGCAGACTCCACCAGAGTAGAATCTAGCTCCGCTTTGATATTGGTTGGACTGTGGCCTTTCAAATGAAAGTATTGTATCACATAACGATGACCAATTTTTTCCATGTTTACAAATTCACTGAGAGCGTTCACTATTGATGGCTGCCAAACAAATACCAAACAACGTAGCGTCGTCAAACTTTAAAACTTTAAACTTAAGTTTTATAAGGTTGCTACTTTCTACCATAGTCATTCTTTTCAAACAACAACCGCTATCTATACGTCAGGTCAGGTACTTCTAGGACTACCCTCGTATAAAGCTCTCTTTCTCAAAAAAGTAACAAAGTTCCTTGTACTTGAGGACTCTCATTGAGACAAGTGACGGTGATTAGCGGGAGACATTGATAATTGCCCTAATTGTGACCTTACCGCCTTTCGTGCACTGGACTCTCATTCGGGTTTGATAAACTTGCAGTGGAGGTGCGAGGCGTCGTGGTTCCCTTGCCTGCGTCCTCCTCTTCCTCCTCCAGAATTCCAGGTAAGAACATCATTTGTTTCTCCTCGGGCACCCTGAAGGACCAACATAAGCACCGACATCAACATTTACCTGATTATTTCCCCTCTCGCGAAGCGTCGACATATAGAGCTAACGCTTTACGCAAGCAATTTCACGAGAGAGAAAATTAATTTATTCACGAAGCATGCTTTTTGAAGATGATATTGTTTCCAAACGCGCAGAGTCAAACCTCATGAATTGCAAGCTGGACATGCTGTAGCTCTAAACGTCTTGTTCATTTTATCATAAACGATCTGTACAAAAATAAAATACTAACGTCATATTCGCCACGCTGCCGCGATATGTCTTCTTCTTGTAAGCCGCTGCGGCTTCCGTATAGGGTAGATTCAGGTTCTCAGAGTCATAATAGATGTCTTTAACGAGCGGCGGGCAACGGTTCATCAGCGTGTCGACTCCGAGGTATGAGACCTGACGTTCGCACACAATTGCACATTTGTAAACATTGCACTTCGGAATCCTCTGAGATCATTAGGAAGTGTTCTAGTTGTTCCTACCTTGACGTGACGATCGATCAGCCAGTTGAGCTCAAAGTCCTCGTCGTCGTCGCCGAAGGGGTTTATCAGCTGCTCGGCTACCTTCAGTAGCCCCATGAAAAAGAAGAACTGCAAAATTGTGAAGATGGGCAGGTACTTGTCTATCTTCAACTGGAATTGCTTCTCGACGCCGTCGATGTATTGCCGGCCGACCAGGGCGACCGCGAAGAAGCTGTACGTAGCGAGCGTCACCACCTGGGTGTACACCAGAGGGATGGACACCCAGTCGTAGCTCCACAAGAGGCCGCACTTTGTCCGAAACTCGTTGAATTCCTGCAACCATTGGAGCAATCTTGTTAATTAATTGATCCTTGCGTGGAAAGTAACGTTACGTTAAGCTAAGACTCTGCATCGGCCGATTCTGCTCGGTTGGAAAGCTCGGAGGAAATTTAATTGCGCCATTCTGAAAGAAACTCAATTAAAATCGCGTAATCGCGATTGAGCGTAAAGCTAAAGAGTAAAGCTAAAAAAAACGAAGAAAAAAGAAAGAAACCAGTTGCGATATTTGCGATTGCGTCGCGCTTCGTTATTTTTCCTTGAACTTCGCGGCTACTTCACACGTCAAAGTGGACCCGCGCTTGTAGCGCTTGACAAGAATGAAATATTATCTTCGGCAATTTTCACTCGATCACTCGTGTACGCGCATAATGCTGGCGGGACATGCGTGACTAATCGTGAAAAATAAAGCTCGCAGCTTGATGGTCTGCGAGCATGGTTTACGACTGTTTCTAGCCGCTCGTATATCGACTCGCCGTAGCAGGAGTCGGCCGTTGAATCGAATCGTTCCTTCGTCTACCAGCGATTGCAAAAGCGACCGCCTCACCATATTAGTGACTGTATTTTTTGACCGTACGCAAAAGAACCGACGCGACAAAAAAAAGTCTGACGTAACGACATTGTTCCCGAAAACGCAGCGGCTCATACATAAAGTGACTTTCACGCTTGTTATTAATGAGAAGAAAATATATTTGAAAATATGTTGAAAATATATAGAGCTCTTCGTTTCTCGGCGCGACATTAATTTTCTCGACGAGTAATGAGAATCGCGAGATGACTCTCATCACTCGTTCCGTTTTCCGTTTTCCGAGATATCAAACGAAGGAAGGAACGTTTATCGCACCTCCATAATGATCTTCAAGCCTTGCGCGTCGGGCAGCCTCTGGTTCGTACGCGCCTCTTTGAGGAGATTAACGAACCACGTGCACGGTATCCAATAAGTGTTAAACTCGACACTCGGCACCGACTGGAACAATTCGAGCTCCAGCGTAGTCATGAAGCCTGCAACACGCTCGTTAATTTTTAATTGTCACCACGTCGACTATACGGCGGCGGTCGTTCCGAGCCATTTACCGGAATCAACGACATGATCGAGGGTAGGGAACCGTCTCTTCACTGCCGAACTGATGGAACGCAGAACGAGTATCAAGGAAAGGTTGAGATAACGCATCAAGGACCTCCGCAGCATCCGGCTGTACTCGTCGTTTCCGGTGATGTAGAGCGCCACGAGATGCATCACCCTGCAGAGAAGAACAGCCGAGTTGAGAGGAATTCGTAAACTTTCGAATTCTTGAAGAATAAAAGAAAACATTTGTCCAATATTATCTGCTGTTGGAAGAAGAAGGAGAACATGGCCGGCGCAACCGAATGGCAAAAGTTTTCGTTTATCTTTATTATTGAAGATATCGATTGAGTTTAAGGGGGGGAATTACATGCGGAGCAGACCGTTTCCAGGGCTATTTTTATGAACTTTTTAACAGAAACGGTAGGATCAATAGACTTGAAATTTTCGCAGTGTTCATTCATTAATGTTCAAAGTATAAAATAAATGTGTTACTATCTATGTGGAAAGTACACATAAAAGTTTGAACGCATTTATTCGGAAACTACATTTTCTTAAACTGTCGACACGATTAAATGTTTACACAAAAAACGAACACAGTTATATTTTATTTTATTCATTTTTTTTAAACATGATTACAAGTTGAGAAAAGTTTCATTTTCGATACCTTTTTTTTTGTACAGTCATTATTTTTCCAAACTTGCCTTCGCTTTGACATGGGCTGTAATAGCAACCGTATATTTTAAAAATCTTTCTCATTTTTTCGTTTCAGAATAGTGAGGGCCCGGAATTATGTCGACAGCAAGCATAGAGCTCGCAAACGGATGACTGCATTTTTATCTATATTTGCAAATCGGATCGGTTCTTGCGATTCAATAAAATTTATTTTATACTTTGAACATTAATGGATACGCTGTGAGAATTTCAAGTCCATTGATCTTACCGTTTAACTGTTAAAAAAATTTCGTAAAAATAGTTTTGAAAACGGTTTTCCGCATGTAATTCTCCCCTTGAGATATGTCATTTGAATATTTCGATGGACTCACTTGTCGGGCCACGGTATAGCCTTGTATTGCTTCCACCACCTTTGCGCGACGTAGGACACGTAAAATCCGAGCACAAAACTCAGCGGGATCAGTTTAATCAAACTGTCGCAGTAGACGACGACTTTCTCGAACTCTCTGCAATACATTGCACTTTACGTTGGCGCTCGAATGGCGAAAGTATTTAATCCGTTTTTTATTATCAGTATCATCAGTGGAATTTGTTATTATTCTGTTACGTTTAATCGGCTATATCGAGCGGTCGGTAGGCGACGAGAGAATCAACATCGGAGCAATTTACTTATTCTCGGTGGAACGCGCTCACCTTTTTTGAGCAACGGTGAAAGCATGGCGGTAAAGCGCGGACATGGTGCCGAAGAGGATCAGGTAGAGCAGCAGTTCCCTGTAGATGAGCTTGTAGAGGGAACCGCGCCACATAAACAGCAGCCTGGTGAATCCACCGCTGGTGGAACTGGCGACCTCGTACTGATAAGAGACCGTCATGTTTTATCCATTCAGCAACACCGTGCCAGTTTCTTCTCGAGAACGACGCGCTCGCTAGCACGTTGTTACTCATACTTCCCAAAGTTTGCTCCTATCGAACCTAAAAACAAAAGCGTTGCGCTATAATTACTGCAAAGGTTTATTAACAATTAATCACGAGCGATACTTCTTTTTTCTTTTGTTGTTTCGCTTTGGGAGAATTGAATCAAATTCCTGTCGCGACATTAAATCGACTTATAATTTTAACCAATTACGATTTTAATTCATTTGTGTCTCAGTAATGCACCCACTATTTAATAATAATTAATTATTGAGTTTATTACGTCTTGATTCCAATGTTTTAGATCAAGAAACTTGATCTCTTGACTTGAGACCGTACGTCAAAAAACGACCGAGACGTCAAAAAAAAAGGGAAACAAAAATGTAAGAAAATAAAATTGCAGGGAAGCAAAAATAACTAAATTCAGAAATTCTTTTCCTCATATTTTATTTCAAAAGATAACTAATTCTAGATTTACAGAAGAAGCCTATTATAACGTTTTTTCTTTCATACAAGACGAATAATTTGACGCGCGGTGTTTGCGATTAATTTGAAGGTGTTGGATTAATTCTCCTCGGACAAAAAATTGTCCAGCGAGAGAGACCGAAATTATCGACTCAGGTTCCGACGTGGAAATTTACAACGTGATAGGAAAGAACTTGAAAGGTATGGAAAACGTTACATAGTGTGATACTGTTATACCAATGCACTAGACAATTATTTATCGCACAGAACACCCACACGTGCAAACACCTTATTTTCGCCAGCGACCGTAACCGTCTCGACACTTTTGCGTCTAGCAGGCTTGCAGTTCTCGAAACGCAGCGAGTGATGTTTCGCTGTCGCGGCTTCGACGAGGCTTGTGCCAGTAGACAATTAATTCGGCCCATTGTAAAATGCAATTTCGCAACTTTTCCACGAACGACGGGGCGCGTGCATCACTCTCGGCTTCAATCTCTTCCGAAACAATCGCGCATTGTTCGCGATTACTCGCGGAGCCGAATGATCACCCAGGAAGAATCCGTTTGAGTGAATTTTTGATCCTTCGGGGCAATTTCCCCGAAGGACTTGAGGTCGCCGCGGTGACACTTGGAGAGCGCGCTGCGCGCGATCGCATCATTCGCCAGAAATATACCGCGAGATGCTAAACGCCGACTAAAAACGGAGTGATGTAGGCTCGGATTCTTCTCGTACCAACGATGTGCCATGATGCAAGCTGAATCGCGTTTATCGCGGGTAAAGCAAAGCCGTCACATTGTGAGAGAGGGAAGAAAATTAAACGAAACAATCTCAATTAAAAAAATATTCTGTTTTGTACGAAGAGAGCGTGTCAACTTCTCAGACGTGCGGATTCAACCTCGTCGGAGGCGCAGCTTGGGTCCACGTGATCCTCAGCGCTCTGTACGTGCATCTCGTCATTGTTCGTCACGGCTGTGAGCTGGCCGGTCTCAAGTTGCACACGATATGACGCCAAAAACGGGCACGCACGTCACAAGCGAGACGTCATCGGGCCGGCGCGGCGCGGCGGCGTGTGTGGCGACTCGAGAGTCTTTCAGCGTGCATTTCTTTTTCTTTTTTTTTTCCTTTCTTTCTTTCGGGACGCACCGTAAATAATGTCTAATAGTCTGTCGGGAATCGCGCCAGTATGCGGCAGCGACGGTAAATATAACTTTGAGCGTCGATGTAATCACTGTGTCTGGGTAAACACACAATTTACACGAGATTTCCGGGCGCGCGACCTTTGCGACTGCACCTTGGGACGCACTTTGTCGATCGACACCTCGAGGGTGCATTTATCGCGGCCAGAACGACCAGGCGGACGAAGGCGTTCGCCTTCGCGCACTTGGCACTTTAGTTGTTGTTACTCGACGCCTGAAACGTTGCGAATGTCTAGGAAATAGTTCGAGCCCCCCTGCCTCACTCGAGTTTTCGTTCCGCTGCTTATGGCGAAGGAAACGCTACTTGCAGCGTATGAGGAAGAGATCCCGCTCTTCTCAGGACTCTCAGAGTTCGACTAAAGATTATTTTGATTGAACTATCAGTGTGCGTTTATTAGAAAAAAAAAAAAAAGGAAAGAACTGTACTTGATCGGAAGCTGTCTCTGACATTTTTGCTTACGACTCATGCGTCAAAATTACATTTGAAATTTATTTAAAAATTTATTAAAAAATTTATTAAATTCAAATTTATTTGCATTTAAAATTATATTTCGTCCGTTTGCATACGAAGACTTGACGATGTCGTAATTATCAATCATAGAAATCACTTCTCGGGTGTGTTTCAAATTTTCAAATTGTGGAGCATCACAAAAATTTAGATACATCCGAGCTGATAAAAATTACGAGCGAAAGTACAATGCGACATCGTAATCAACAAAGGCTCGGTTATTGATGTTGACATATACGGGGATACCCATTGCGTACAATAATTCAAACAATCCACGACAGATGATTTTACGGTCGACGCGGATCTATCGCATATTTCTTAACGTAACTCGCGAAATTACCGCTCCTATCGAAGCGCGTGGCATTCTTGGCCGGCGAGCTATTGCATTAAGTACGCGGAGCATCGCGCCGCATCGCATCGCGTCGTTTCGATCTGAATTTGAGCGTATCCGGACTTGCGCGAGAGCGGATAAGTCCCGTGTAATACCTTCATTCTTAGTCATTCGCGTCGTGGCCAGGTGTCGGAACGGCGCGAGCGCCTGCACTCACGGGGGCGCGATGACGCCGTTAATAATACGGTATACGCGACGTCGTCGGCGTGTCTGACGGATCGTCTGACGGTCGTACTATATTTCCGCGCGACCTTCCCGAAAATACTCTCGGCAGAGACGCGTCGGTCGTTGGCGAAATGTGGAAATTAAGATTCCTTCGTGGAAGGAGGACGGATCTCGCTCGCGTCTCCGAGCCGACTTCCGATTAAGGACTAAATATACCGCAAACTTGGAAGCGCTCTTCTCGGCCGACGTATCGATACGTGAAGAAAAATTACTCAAGGCGGACAATGAATCTCTCGGTGTCAAGTGTGTCGCGTTTTCCGCCTGTTTGTGTATGCCGTGCTTGAATTTTTACCTTGAGATTACTGCATAATTAGAATATAAATAGAGTTACATCGCACAGAGTCGAGATAAGAAGCTTCGTGAATGATTTGTTTGAAAATGATGGAGACACAATGAGCTTATACTTTATACAAAAAGATTGCACCTTCAATTCCTTACAATTTGGTATAACAATGCATATTAATTAGAGGCAGTCGGATTTTGTTAACACAAGTTTTAATTAAACCGTCTTCGTGAAGCTCTGCTACCAGCTAATGGTACCATCAATCGCGGTTGCTAATTAGAAATTGGATAATTTAACTTTACTAACACGTGCAGGAAAATAGAATTTTGAATATGGGCCAAGGACATGCCTGCGTACGGGTTCGTATTAACGAACACGCAGACGAGTACATGCCATTAATTAGACATTTTATACTTGCTGGTCGGTATCTGTTAATCTATTAATAAAGAGAAAATGTTCAAGAGAACTATATATATACTTGCGTGGAAACGTACAAGATCATCATCTTCCCTTTTCTCCTCCAAAGCAAGAGAAAAACTTTTGCGCGCGTTTTTTCGTCGATTCGTGTTATTCGTGTACGAGATAAGCTGATTGTAGGATTCACCATCATCACTTGGACATTCATCGTGTTACACGCCGAAGTAAATAGCCGCGTGAATATTTAGCGTCTCGCGGAAGCGCGTGAATGATCAATGAACAAATTTCCGCTTTCGCGTTCCTAAGTGCACCTTTGTGCACCATAATACGCTTCAATTGGGTTTCGCTGTATCATTTGAACTTTGTGAGTCCCCAAATTTTATTTATGCGAATGATCTCTGTTGAAATATATATATATATATATATTTATAGCAGAGTTTCTCGTGGTATATTGTGCGCGTGTCCTTGCACGTGTATCCTATCCAATATTTTTTTTAATGTCACACAAAGCACGCTTAAAAGTTGATGACTGTTATAACATATCGACACACCGTGCGGCATACATTTTTCAACTGTATATACCTGCTACGCTCGTTATCTCTCTCTTCCCGCTACAATTATTTTTTATTGCGCACACCGACGTGTCGAATTTGTATTTACCGTTTTCACCTGCACGTGCCGTCGCGCTGAATCATGAAAACTAAACGACAAGAAGTTCCGACCTCCCTTTCGATTATGCAATTTGCGAAACCAATTGTTCGAAGCGGCGCATTAATTAATTTCAAATTTTGACGTCAGCCGTCGCGATCGGTTGACGTCACACAGTCTTCGGGCATTATTAATAAGTGGCTGATTCGCGATGTTTACTTGAACCCTTTCAGGGGAGCACTTTCTCCGGCGAATAAATGTGCGATTCATTCAGCGGAGGACCGAACCGACAATGAGCTGTCGCTTCTTCTTCAGCTGCGTTTCTTCTCACGGAGCAACTCTTGAAATTCTAACTCTCTTTGAGCCGCCGCCGAACGTACACATGTATTTAATTATACGCTGCAGAACTGAACGAAGGATTCTGTCCCCGACAGAGCAGAATGAACAATATATATTCGGCATACTCTAACTCGTTTAATCACAATTCCGACGGAGATTTCGTAACGTTCGGAAAACACCTCTCTGTCACTCGCCATCCATCGCTAGCAACAACTCGAATCCATGTGTTCCATTCTCTTCTTCTGTTCACAAGGCAGGGATGTTCGTTCACGACCGGAAGGCCTTCACCGGTGCACTCCGTGATCTATCGCTTCTCAAGGCCAGCCGACATTTTTCCTTCCTGAAACACCCGCGCGTTCCAGCAGCCGCCGAGTGTCCGCGGATCGGCGCGGCGGGATGAATTTGTCGAGCCGGTCGTGAGGATCGCGCGATGATCTTGCCGAAAATCGCGAATCGAGAACCCGTCGCTAGGTGGCAGGGAACGCGATTCGCACCGCGACCGCGAGGGAAATCGTCGCGGGCTGCGCACTTGGCGCTCGTCGGCGACCAACTGGTTGCGCGCGCGGAGACGCGCGCTGTTGCATAGTCGACGGAATATTAAACATTGCTGCTGGGCGATCGCGATCCGATGGCAGATGCCCAAAATCTAAAAAGGGCCGAATGTCAAGCTCACACGCCTATAGATCGCGCGTGCCTCCGCCGGAGTCGCGCACGCGGTAACGTGCGCGATTTCCCTGCGGGAAACACGCAAGGGGAACATGAAAAGCCGCGTCTCGAAGCGGCCGGGGAGATTTAATAGCGTTCCCTACGTACGCGAAATAGCCGGAATCTCGCAGTTGGACAATGCTAGAGGTGTCCGCGGAGCGCCCGAGAAAAGGGATCTCGGGGGTGTTAGAATATCGTCCAGACGTCTTTTTCATATCTTCTAGGTTCCTGGTGGAAATTTGTTAATTAAATTGGGGTCGTCGTGCGTATCTCTGGTGTAACAATAAAATTTTCTTTTAAAATGTCAGTTCTTTTCTATCCTTCTGCAGTCGTTCTTTGCGCTCATGAAGAGACACAAAAGTGTGTAAAAATCAAACTTTCTTCGAGCTTGAAGTCTCGCGAATGTTGCCCTAAAATTTTTATATCATCCAGACAGTTTTTTTGATAACTTTCAGACGCCTGATGGAAATTTGTTAATTAAATTGGGGTTGTCGTGCGTATCTCTGGCGTAACAATAACATTTTCTTTTAAAATGTCAGTTCTTTTCTATCCTTCTGCAGCCGTTCTTTGCGCTCATGAAGAGACACAAAAGTGTGTAAAAATCAAACTTTCTTCGCGCTTGAAGTCTCGCGAATGTTGCCCTAAAATTTTTATATCGTCCAGACGTTTTTTTGATATCTTTCAGACGCCTGATGGAAATTTGTTAATTAAATTGGGATCGTCGTGCGTATCTCTGGTGTAACAATAAAATTTTCTTTTAAAATGTCAGTTCTTTTCTATCCTTCTGCAGTCGTTCTTTGCGCTCATAAAGAGACACAAAAGTGTGTAAAAATCAAACTTTCTTCACGTTTGAATTCTCAAGAATGTTGCCCTAAAATTTTTAATCGATATATTTACGGAATTACATCATTTTAATGCTATTACTATTATATTATTTGTTTGACAATAAAAGATTTCTGCAAAGTTACATTTATCATGATTGTTATTAAAAAGAATTTGGACAAGTCAGAAAAGCAACATTCAACCGATGGCTGAAACATCGGTAACGTCAGGCGTTTTTCAATTATCCGCGGCTGTCATGAAGCAGTACCTACGGCCAATAGTTTTCAATACTTGTCTAATGAGCATCTAAGGTAAGACAAAGTGAATCGTGGTGTCATCTCACAGCACGATCTCAAGTTTTTAATGACGAGAATACCATCGATAACACGAGCGGGATAACTGTATCTTCTGAAGATAACACGAAATAACGTGGCGGCACGAGCGATTCTTTGACAGCATGTTTAGTATATAAATAATAAACAGTAGATTGTTGAGGAAACAGTTGAATCATTGACTATAGTCACGATTGATCTCTCTGTCTGTGAATTCGTTCATAGAAACCGCTAATGAAAGCGTGAAACGAATTGCACACTATGCTAAAGTTTACGATAAAAGTAATATAAGTAAAATGGTATTAGAAGAATAAAACTCATGTTATATAATTATTAAGTAAATAATAGAAATATATTATTGGATTGCTAGGCTGAAAGGAAATGAGTGACGTCAAATGATTTTAGCAAATTCTGTTAAACTCAGTGATTTTGTATTTAAAAAATAAGCATACAACAAATTTTTATCTTTCTCCGCAATATTTTTCTTTTTCACGCACGTGAGACACAAATTTGGACTTTCAATGTTACATCATCTCGCACGTGCGCGCGCACGAGAGAGACCAACTACCCTTTCTCTCATACCTGGACTCTCGATTAAGGCTTCACGAAACTGAAAATGGAAAATTCTCTTTCTGCTTCTCTCGCAATTCTCAATTGTCCAACAATTGCCGGCGTCGCGGTGTCCCCGCCGAGGGCAAAATTAACGGCAAATTAATTCAAGGGTCCGCCGTGGAAAAGCGGCCTCGGGAACCGCGGGACACTGCGGGTTACATAATCCGCCCGGATATTCCTCTGTGCGGCATTCCTGCAAATTTTTTTTCCGCACAAAATGTCTAAATGTCATCCCGGGCGAAAATTCGTGGCGTGCGAGCGAGTCGGGAGGCGAGGGCATGCGGTAGAAGCAAGAACGAAAGAGCGGAAACGCGCGCGGGAGAAAGAGGCAACGAGGCAACTGTAGTATGACGGACGCGAGGCAACCGACGACGGCGATGTGCTGCGGGCAGTCTGCGCACGGACATCGATCGAGCCTCACGTTCCATCCACTCCCCGAAATTCTCGATTGTTTCACCAGCCGCGATTACCGATACGTTAAATACGACAGAAAGAAGAAGGGAGAGACACGGACGGAGGGAGGAAGAAGCGGATAATACGAAGAGCAGCGGAAGAAATAACGAGAGAGAGAGAGAGAGAGAGAGAGAGAGAGAGAGAGAGAGAGAGAGAGAGAGGGAGGGAGAGACAGGGGGACACTGCGGAACCATCCTTGATGGGGCGATCGTGAATCGCGAGCATCGTGACAGTGCGATGACACCTGTGCTTTGCCGAGAGGAACTGCCGAGCGACAGGACTGCGACTGCGGGGGTGTCTTCCACGGTGCACCATAGGAATTTTATGTAACAACCGGAAGACGTCGGTTCGCTGCGGTTGACTTCACGTCCGATAAGGTAGGCGACGCTCGACGATCGAGAGGGGTGAATTTTCAAAAAAGCCGACGTCGGTTTTCTCTCAGAGTCACACAAATTTATCACCTGACCGCGGCAGATTGGCTCAACGAGGATGTTTTGTATCTCGCTTTTGTTTGCTCGCCGTGTTTTCCTCTAGTATTAAATTGCTCCAAATGACCGTCGATAAGCACCGATAAATTGTTTTCGAGCGGAAGTCCTTCGATGTGTTTCTGCCGCTGAGACGTTTAAGTCAATCTGAGTCGCGGCGATAAGTGATTGCCTTCTGGCGACATAAAGATAAAATTCAATTGCTAGTAATTTCTAGCAATCTCCAATAACCTCCGAAAGTAAATGATATTTATGCACTAATAAGCGCCAAGGAATTCTCCGCGGATTTTCCATCGTGTTGGACTCTCCTTTTGCGGAAAGTACGCGGGTGGACGTTAAGCACGCTTTTACATCCTCCACGCAATAAAGTTGTGTGATAAGATACTATCGAGACGCGACTTAATCAGGAAAAACTGGTAGGTGCAAGGTTAGTGCGGGAAGTGGAGCCTCGCAGAGCCGGGAAGAAAGTTTTGACGTTTGAGAGTGTAACCGTGTATCTCCCGTCTCGAAATAACTCGATTTTTGCATCGACGGCCTGCCTGCCTTTTACTCACAAAATAAATCTGCGATATTTTCCGTAGAAAAAATCTATATCACTCGCCGCAATTTTAATTCATGTTAATCCCCGTCGAAAAAGCAACCTCTTCCTCTTGCAAATATCGAGAGCCAACGAGAGGCACGGGGCAAAATTCTGCGTTTCAACAAACAGCTCTTTCCAGTCCTTTGACCTCTTCGTAAGAGTCCCATTACCGGAATTATAAAAAAGTCAAGAGAGAAAAATACGGGGCCAATTGGAGCCGCATGTAAATGAAGGAGCGAGGCCGATTTGTGCAGTTATAATCAAATATGAATAATGTATCGAGCAGAGACGTTATGTAAAGAGCATGCTAATGCTCAACATGTTTGTATCGCACAAAAAAGTATCGCACGTAAAGCGTGCACACTCTTCTTGGCCGCGGAGTTCGCCGAGGGGTGCAGTTCTTTCGAGAGGAGAATCTCTCTCTCTCTCTCTCTCTCTCTCTCTCTCTCTTTCGGTCGCCAACCTCGGATTAATTTCGAGGAAGAAACTTCGGCACTTGGTGCGGTCCGCCGCACAGTTCCAAAATTTCTCCGTCCTTGTTGCAGTATCGCGCGGATATTCGTCGCGATTAGTTGGAACACGTGCTCAATAAATCACGCGTCTCGCGTTAAACTGGGAACGAAGCCGGAATTATAGAAAGATCGATAGCGACATGTTCGTTTCACCGGGCTATAAATGCCCGTGTATAAACGCTGCAAAGCACGTGAAAGCGGTCGATTCGCTTTTACTTACCGTAACGCCACTGCATACGCCCCGCATCCATGGCCACGCGAGCGTCGTACAACATTCCGGAATACGTAATTTTAATTTATCGATGTTTACCGAGCGTACGTTTCCCGAGGTGTATTCTGTTCGCGCATTCTTCGCCGCAACAATAAGCGCGCGCGTTTGCGACGGTCATCGCGCCGATATTGTACGGCGATTGTAAGACGCCTCTGTCAAATGAAGAAGCTATTAGCAGCGCGGATGCTGATCTAAAACGGAACGGGATAAAAAGGAAAGAGAAAGGGAGAGAAAAAGAGGATAAACGGATAAAGGTGCGACGAATCGGATTTGCATCCGCGTGAGATTGTTCGACAAAGCGTCTTCTCGTTCGACGCGACGATGCGGGATTGTCGCAATTTCCGGCGTCAAAATTATGGTAATGCGGTGTAATTGGACTCCTATCGGTCAATTTTGTATCTTACGGAATAATTTAAGAACGTCCATGCATTTCGGGCTAGACTTTTATCTCTATCGATCCACATCGACAATCATTAGAAGCGAACGTTAATTTGTAAAACGGGACTAAAGTCTGAGGAACCTCGCTTGATTTTTTATAATCGTTCTTTTGCTACTTAAAAAAGAAACACGTCTCTCTCTCTCTCTCTCTCTCTCTCTCTCTCTCTCTCTCTCTCTCAAGGAAACGATAAAATCCGAAAACGTCGGAAACAATATTTATAGGGTCGACGTATCCGACAAGGTAAAAAACATATCAAATCGAGCTTGCTCGAATGAAGCAGAGGCTAACTTACGGGAGATATATGCGACTGTTAATTTGCGGAAATGAGTCGAACAAGCCGCTTCGAAATCGCGGCGAATCGTTCGGAGTCGCGAGAATCAGCGATTAGCGTCGCCGTTTAAGAAGTCCTCCACAGCCTGCGCGCGCCATCGTCGCGTTGTATCTCTCCCGACGTTTTTTGTAAACGTTGATTTCCTCGTGGAAATCTCTGGTTGCCATCTGTCAGAGGCACTTCGCTCTCGTGCGCGCGCGTTCCGACGTGCTCCTCTCCTCGTGCTAGGTCGCGATAGACCTCGTAAACCCGCTCGACGCGTTCTGTAGCTTTTAATTACGATATATTGCCCGTGGACGCGAACGCGGGCAAGTACGAGTCTCGATGCCGCGACCGGTGCGCGTAAAAGCGCGCGTGCTCGAAATTCCGTTGCGAATCGCGGAAAATATCGAGAGGGCCGATTTTACTCCGAGGATTTACGACCGATCGGCGAATCCTCGCGATTTACGTGTACACGCAACTCTCGCGAGTTTCGCGATCGCGACTTATCGCGAATTATGAACGAGGATGCTTATAAGCGGACGAGAAGTAACGCGCGAGCCGCCTGCACGCGCAATTGAATTAACAACGTGAAACTCCGTATTTTTAATCTAACTTGCTTAAAATTGCTACTCCGGAGCACCGCTTAATTCGCTTTCGCGTAACAGCGTCCAGTTGCGCAACTATTTCTGCGTTTAGCCATTCTTCTAGCTTCCGTATACAGCGATTCAGCGCGGATCCATTGGGATTGGCGAAGCCGGGTGCATTGAACTCCAGGAAAGTAAGCGCGCCGATGGGTGGCTCGCGTTACGTGTGAGGTGCGTTATAGACTTTTGCGGACGACGATTACTTCCCCGTAAACGATTCATAACATTTTGTACGCTTCATCGCGGATTTCTAATCCCCCCAATCTCTTCACCAAAGCTGCCGGTTACGTCGTGCGCGCTTTCCCGAAGCGCGCAAACTTCGCGGGAGGATTTTGGGGGAGGAGGGAAAAAATGTGAGTCAAGAACGAAATGACACGATTGATTTCTTTCTTTCTTTCTTTCTTTCTTTCTTTCTTTCTTTCTTCTCCTGACAGAAATCGCTTGTTTTTACTTTTCACATCCGACTTTCACTGTCAGCGATTAACATAGATTGACCGCGTCACGTGGCCTACATATCAATTTATGATACAGCTCCGGCGCGGTGTGATTCGGAGAGAAGCGGCTACATATCGACGTTTTTTTCACGCGCGCATGGAGAAACGCGAAAACAATCGTCAGCTCGACAGACGGCGAGGTAGAACTGCCGATGACAAGCCACCGGCGCATCCTGGCGCATCGCTGCGACGCGACGTCGGGCGCGGTGGGTTGTCGAGCGTGGAAAAGAAAAAACGAATTGGAAAGAAACACAAACGTGCGTTCGTTCCTATCGTAAATCATCGTCGAAAATACAATAATACCACGGGGAGAGACATAGCGGGAGGGGGGTGGGCGGGGGAGGCGAGGGAGGAGGTACGAGCTCGCGCCATAAACCAAATCGCATCAGTTGACTCGTCTTGACCTTTGAGTTTGGTTGACCTTCTTTGCGGGCTTTTGTGCGGTACATTTTGGTCGCTCTCGGACGGATCCTATCGCGCGAGGTCACTGCGCTTTGCAATTTTAAATAGATACGAGTCCGCAGAGAAATATTCCTCAAGGATCTTCTCCGCAGATACGGAAGATGATAGGCCGAATATAGGCAGACTACTTGGCTTCGCCCGCGCCCGAGAGGGCTGCAGCGGCGGAATTTCGACGCGAAGATCTTTGCGGATAGTTGCAAAGATCAGTGGAGACTATTTGTGCGCGGAATATTAATCGATTAATTGCTGTCAACCTGTTCCGACGAAATCACACAACTGATGAAATTTCACAATTTAAAGCGAAATTGGAAATTGAAATATTCTCCCGCTCTTTCGCGGTCTTTAAGTGATTGACATTTAATTTTTCGAAATAACATATGACTTGGCGTTTGATGCATATAATCTCAAATAATCAGTAGGCTGTCAACAAAGAACATATTCGATACGCGATGCATTTCGCATTTCGCGTTTAAACAAAAAGCAGCTTTTCTGAAGCAGCAGCCAAAATGATTTGTACTGCTGAAACTGGTTTTCCAAAGTGATCATTTTGATCTTCACGACTAACCACATTCCGGTCAGCCAACAAAAATTTCAAGACGACGAGTTGCAAAATCTACTGAATGAAAATACGGCACAAACACAACAAGAACTTGCGGAAAAGCTGGGAATAAGATAGAAAGATATTTGCGTCTCGTTTACGTCATATGGGAAAGATACAGGAAGAAGGAAAATGGATTCCACACGAGCTAACCATTGATAACAAAAGTCGCCGATTGATCACACGCGTGTTACCTTGCTCGCCAGACAACAAAAAAGATTCTTTTTCGCAAAATCGTGCACTGGTGACGAAAAATGGATTATGTGTGAAAATCCTAAAAGCAAAGAATCGTGGATAGATTCTGGTCAAACCGACAATGTCGACGGCAAAACCCAAACGTTTCGGGGAAAAAAGTTCTTCTCTGTACATCTGTGGGACCAGAAGGGTGCGCTAGGGTACTATGAGCTCTTGGAACCGGAAAAAAACCATTAAAGCGGAGATTTGCCAAGGGCAATTGATACGTTTGAGCGATGCAATTGGCAGAAAAGGCCATTTACTGGACAAGGCAGCCGTAAAGTCATCCTGCTGCACGACAATGCTAAACCGCATACAGCAGAAGCCACAAAGGAAAGCATCTTA